GGGCAGGGTCGGGCTCGCGATTTGCTTTGGTCTGGGCCTTTTAAAGCAATGGTTGGGCTCCTGTATTATTTCAGGCCCCGTTGCTCATTTACTCAACAGGGACATGAACGGGACTCCGAATGACAGGGGACCTCTCGCGTTGGTTGGGGTCCTCTGATAACGAAAGCGAACATTATAACTTATGTTGAGCGTTCACGTTGAGACAATGGAAGGGTCTTGTGCCTGTCAGGGCCACCAGTTCTGAACGGTGGGCCCTCCAACGCAATTCCAGTATGGGCCCGTTAAGCTAAACTGGAATATGTGCGCCAATTATTGGACCACCTGCGGTGAACAGGGATGTTGTTGCGCCAGTGAGGGTTTCTGCGTCGATCCGGGGCCAACTGTGCTGCTTAGAAGGCCCCCCACGTAGGGAAAGGACCAATGTAATATGATGTCTCTCTAAGGGCCTCCGGATCGGCCAGGGGATGCCGCCCCATGTCGCAAAAATGACAGCAGGAAGGCGCCCCGCGGTGGAACGAAATGGCGCTTCAGCTCCTGACCGGGAACAATAATGCGCCCCTAGTGTTCTACTCAAGAGGCCCCTGCCCGGAGAGAAATAAGGGGTCTCATTAGTGTCGCAAAGAATGGGCCGAAATGAGTTAAAAAAACGAACAAGACCATCCCATATTGGCTTCAGAACGTATGCCTTTTGCAGACTCGATTAGTGAAGCAAATTACATCAAAAGATTTGATCTTGCGCGCCCGAGGTCTCGGAAGCGAGAACAGCGATGGATGGGTTGCATCTCTTTAAAACCGAACGGCGTTGGCCACTGCAAGTAACACCACGCACTCCGCGCGAGAACGACCGTCGTGAAATAATTTTTCCGAATGTCCCTCAAGATTAACTCTTAATTCGTAATTAATTAGTTCATATATTAAAGAAAAGCTGTACATACCTTGTTTACGACTTCGAGGCTGCCCTCTGGGCGGCCAAACAGTGACAGCCACACGAAAAATAGAGATTCTGCCTTCACCCTTCCAGATCCACCACCAGATTCCAGCCAGCACCACATCGCAATGCTGTAAATACCAATCCGCTTAACATCATTCTAAAAATCGCACCGGTGAAATATATGCCCGGACTACCTTCTAAGTGCACGATTCGAGGTCTTAAAACTTTCAAAGGCACTTTTTTTCCGATGCGTCATCTTTTTGTCCGCCCATTGGCCACAGCTTAGTGTAAGCCACGGAACCGACGTCGCGCGGTCTACGAGACTGCACCGCCTGGAGTCGAGGTTTTGTCTGAGATTTGCGAGCGCGCATGTTCAAAACAACGTGCATAATTTGCATCATTAATCGATTCTAAATGAGTATTGAATATTCATAGAAAAACATGTATTGGCCAAGTTAATTCAAGTTCTTGACACGTCCCGGTCTAAAATATACATTCGCGGGGTCCCTAATGTATGTATAACTCAAATGGGCGATGCTTTGTACAGATCGCGATGCTCTGCGCTGTGAGAAGGATGATAGACAGTGCATCACACGACAGACATGGCAGTAAGCATGGGCGGCTAAAGCGAAGGAGGGCGGCACATAGGAAACCGCCCTCAAACGGCCCCTTGTTCTTATCACTCCCTTACACCGCCTCTTACTTTCGTTTGGCAGCTCAACTTTGTCTAAATCACATTTACAGGTTAAACGCTCCATAGAAAAGCCCCTTTGGTTGATGCTCATAGAGTCATGTTTGTGTGCGGAAAGTTTGTCAGGGTTGGGTGCGTTGGACAAAAAGTACTCGTAACGCCAAAACTTTGCATGGATTGAATCTTGAAAGGTAGAATGTTCGGTGGGAAATGGTCATCGGGAAATACTCGCCGGGGAATTCTCGGGGCAGGCGGGTATCGTAAATATTTGTGCGCAAACAATTCTGTATGGAATAGGTCACCTGTATTTATTCGTACGTAAATATTCGTCAGGGAGACACCTCGTTTGCTTAGGTACGTACGCAGATTTTCATATACATGTTCATTATGGAAAGAGCGCAACTGCTCGTGCACAAATGTTGGTCAGGAATAACGTTTGCTTGAAAAAAGTCAGTTCGCAAAAATTGGAACATAAATTTCTTGATTGTTCGCACACGGATGTTTGTCCAGGATAGAGTTCGTTTGTCAAACATGTGCATTAAAAGGCTTCTATGCAGATCCGTATCGTGAATTGTCATGCAGAGCCACACACTTGGTATTGGCTTTCGGATGAGCTACCACCGCGAATGTGACCACATTTGCGTCAAAGCGTTCACATAGCGACGCGCAGGCGCCTCAAGTAGCACATTTCAATTCGCATTGGTGCATGCTGTTGTTTGATATGTCCAGTACCGTCTGATCTGCTAACACTACATAGCATGTAATGTATGTTGTTTGGCCCCTCATGACGTAAAGCATGGCCACACAAGCGTCGAAAGGTGGCGCTACAGCATGAAGACATAACTTTACGTTGAGAGCTGGTTGAGGTCAATGTATGGAACCTGTATTTTGCAGAACAAACTTGCAGATCTGTTCCAAAATGACTAGGCCCCGTAACGTTTTTGGAAGGTCAAAGTTTGCTTTTCATTTGAAGTTGCGCAATAATTAATGACATGTTGGCTTATTCTGGTTAGTTATAAGTGACACCACATGTTCTTACCAACTTTTGTGTACGCTTTATGAGGCAAACTTTGTACGTTGTCAGCATTTGCGTATGAACAAGTATTCCAACAACTCAGTACTTTAGCTTGCGAACTCTTCTTTCTGAACCTTTGTCCCGATGACCTTTTGTCCTTACGAATATACTGCATATGCGCTTACTAGCATACGGCCATTTGTCTCCGAGCCTTTGTGTATATACTCTGGCACACGTACCTCCGCCATATAGGCCTCTCGTACCTTCGTTTACGAAAAATTAGATACGTGCTTTACGCGTATGTACATTTCTCAAGCGAATATTTGGCCTAAAACCATGTCATGGATCAAGTACTGTGTCTTCACCCAATCTCCGCCTCCGTGGTCTTGGGGAAAGATGCTGGACTCGTAATCCAGCGGCACTGGGTACGAGTCCCAGAGTGGGCGCATTGTTTGACCCGACTGAAACGGAAAGGCCAGCTGGCAACTGGCCAACGAGGGTCAACCCAGACCCGAGGCGGCCGTGTCGCAGCATTGTGCGGCACGTAAAACCCTCCGCATTCCTGTCCGGCGAAAGGGCGGAGGCAAAATTAGCTGTTGAACTGGACGGCACGCTGGGGTGGTGGGTTCGGGGTACACGCAACAAGCTATGCTTAGCAGGTACTCTGAATCCGAAATCACCCATACAAACCATTCGGGATAACATTTTAAAAAAAATCTAAGGTTGCCCTGGCCTTCATTCTCGTACTTCGCCCAGGCTATCCCTCTCCTTTGGTCGACGTCCTGCTCCCTTTGTCCGGCACTACCACATCTGTCTTTTCT